AAAAACAGCTCTGGATTCTAGCCTTACTGATACCCCCATCACTGTCTAAATTTATCTTTTCTGAAATTCTAGTTCTGATGCAAACCTCCTGATTTCTCCTTCCTGAAGCAATATGGGTACATGTTCATAATAAACAAACAAACAAATACAACAACTCTTCAGTTTTGAAACTACAGAAGGAAAACCCTCATGCAGGCTTCTAAAATCCTGGGTCACGTTGCCTCAGAAGAAATATGCTAAGTTCCACCAATGGCTATAAAAAATTCAAATTATTTTTTTCAATACAAACTACTGATATAATTTCATAATGAGAAGTGGAACAATTTAAGTTGGAAAAAATATGACTATATTATAAGTATATAATATAAAAATCTCAATAACCACTTGTCTGATTTTTTAATAAGCTGTTGAATTGAAGTATTTCCATCAATTCCTAATCATTTGCTTAACCATCTTATTATCAGCTAGTGCTCACCAATGTTTTAGCAATAGCAGCAACCAGGAAGAAAAAAATTCTGGAAGGAATATTTTAAATGCAGATAATGCTGCCCATTATCTTCAGTGTATATCTATAGGGCAGAAAATGGAATTAGAGAACAGAAAAATCAAGATTATTTCAAATAAAAAACTCTCTCCTGCCTCACTGTCAAGATGCCAGCATATTATTTATTGACAATTGTCATCAGTGTGCCCACATTTAATGGTCAGCATACCCTTCCTACTACCACGATCTAGTTTGCTGTTTATGTGCTATGTTCTGAGACAAGACAAATCGAAGCTAATTAACACAGTGTGTAAAATAAAAGCAAACAGGGTCTATGGGAAAGACTATCTTATCAGTAAAGTGCGTGAGTTTAAGGATATCGACTTTAGTTACTCATAAGCCTCTGCTGATTAATTTCTGATTCTTTGTTCCTGATTCTTGACTGTGTACAGTTCCTGATTCTACACAGATATATATATATAAACTATTATCTCTTTGGGAAATAATTCTTCCTTCACGTCTGCCTCCCTAACTAGATTATGAACTCCATGAGTTCAGGAGCCATGTTTTATTCATCTTTGTACCTTAACATCTACAACAGCAGCAAGCACACAGCAAACTCTCAATGAATGTTTGCTTCCAAAATAGCTCACAGGGGCTGCCATGAATGAAATGTAATGATATACAGTAATTTGTGGCAATATGCACATAACCTTTCAATAAAGAACAGGAGCTCTAGGCTATATGGCTGCTGGCTGCTCAACTAGAGCATTACAGGGGTCAGGACTTTGGTAAGATAAACACACAGGCACAGTGTGTCCCTTAGCTCTGCAGCTAACTTGTTGCAATTAATTCAACTTCAGTATTTATCAGATCTTGCCACTTGCGGTAGAGAGGTAGACAAGAATATCAGATCACTCTACCTCCCACATATCCCTCAAATTCATTTACTTCTTTCTCTCCATTATCCCTGCTTCCACCCAAGTTCAGGCGACCATCATCTCTACTGGAGTATTCCAGTTCATCTCCCTCCTTTCATGTTTATTCCCCTCCAATCCATTCGCCACAATGCCACGAAAGTGAGCTTTCTTTAAAAAGAAATTCCAATCATATTACTCTTTTTTTTTTTTTTAAAGATTTTTATTTATTTGACAGACAGAGATCACAAGCAGGCAGAGAGGCAGGCAGAGAGAGAGGAGGAAGCAGGCTCCCCGCTGAGCAGAGAGCCCGATGCGGGGCTCGATCCCAGGACCCTGAGATCACGACCGGAGCCGAAGGCAGAGGCTTTAACCCACTGAGCCACCCAGGCACCCCCACCAATCATATTACTCTTTGAAGCCTTTCAAAGCCTTCCCTCTGCCCTGAAAATAATGTCTAAACCCCCTCAAACGACTTAACAGGTTCGACCTGATTTACCTCTCCAGCCACACAGCTCACCACTCATTCCCTAACAGTCTTTACCCTAGCCGTATTAACCCACATAGAATTCCATAATTAGACCACGCTGTCTTCCAGTGGAAAACTGTCCTCAGGTGTGTCAAGAAAATCTCAATAAGCATTAAAAAACACTCAAACTATGGATTTAGTTCTTTGAAGCTAACAGACTGCTTCAGGCTGATTATTGACAACTATAGTCCTCTAAACAAATATTCCTTCTTCAGAAAGACAGAATGAAAAATACAAATGAATAGTGCTGTTGAGGGAGGAAAGGTTGGAAACATAAACTTCTTGAAAAAAGGTACCAAAGTCTCCATGTCCTGGTACCTGTCATCACCCAGCACACAGTGGTTGCTCAATAAATGCTTGCTGAATGAACGAATGGATGAATGACCAAAGTGAAGTGGAAATGAGAAATTATGGGGACAGAACAACCCAGAAATATTAAGGGGAGTGGTCACATGTCCCAATTCTGACCAGAAAAGACTGAAAAAAAGGGCTGACGGAGGTTTCCAGGAAGAGCTCTCCTCATTCTCACACAAGGGCACTGAAGACCTGTTTCCCTCCTGTAGGACATGAATGTGAATGTATGTAGCCCTAGTGGCTACTAGCTGCGATCTTACAACCATTCAACAAGTTGACACTGTGGAAAACGGAGACAGAGATTCTCAACCTGACAGTCAATGTTGCACTGATGGTCCCTTTGCTCCTGGACTTCTAGTTGTGTGAGCCAATAAGCTTTCTTTTTATTTAAGTCAGTTTGGCTGTCACTTGCAGCCCAAAGTCTCCTGATACTGAGAAACAACAAAGAGAAAGTCATATTGATGATGAACACAACACATCATCATTTCACTTTGTAGCCTAATCAGAAACTAACAAAAACAAGAGCAAAACAAATCATTGTTATATGGGGCGCCTGGGCGGCTCAGTGGGTTAAAGCCTCTGCCTTCGGCTCAGGTCATGGTCCCAGGGTCCTGGGATCGAGCCCCGCGTCGGGCTCTCTGCTCCGCGGGGAGCTTGCTTCCTCCCCTCTCTCTCTGCCTGCCTCTCTGCCTGCTTGTGATCTCTCTCTCTGTCAAATAAAAAAAAAAATTAAAAAAAAAAAACAAAAACCAAATCATTGTTATAAAAGATACAGATCTTCTATGTAACTGGTAAGGCATTAAAACTATATCAAATAATTCAGATGTATTTTCCGGAAAGAAAAAAGGTATTTAGCACTCACTGGATGGAACTAACAGTAGATTAGACTTTATAAAAGAAAATACTAGTGAACTGGAAGACACAGCAATATAAAATATCCAGAAAGAAATACAGAGAGAAAAAAGACTGGAAAAAAAAATGAGTGGGTTGTGAGAAAACTTCACACGGTTCAATATGTATGTGACTGAAGATACCAAAGGAGAAGTGGAGGAGGTCGGGAAAAAATATTTGAAGAAATAATGGTCAAAATTTTTCTGAATTTGATTAAAAAGTATAAATCCATAGATGCAAGAATCAACAAATCACAAGTATAAGGATCATAAAGAAAACTACACCAAGGCACATCATAATCAAATTGCTCAAAACCAGTGATAAACGTAAAAAGCTAGAGGAAAGACACGTGATGTACAGAGAACAAGATTTAAGAATTACAGCAGACTTCTCCTCAGAAAGAATGCAATGCAGAAGACAGTGAAGCATCATTTCTTTTTTTCTTTTTAATTTTATTTATTTATTGGACAGAGAGAGAGCGAGCACAAGTAGGCAGAGGGAGAGGGAGAAGCAGGCTCCCTGGTGAGCCACGGGGCTCGATCCCAGGACCCTCGGATCATGACCTGAGCCAAAAGAAGGTGCTTAACCAACTGAGCCACCCAGGTGCCCTGTGAAGAATCATTTCTAAAGTAATGAAAGAAAAAAAAAAAGATCAATCTAGAACTCCATACCCCACAAATATTTTCAAAGGAAAGCTAAATGACTTTTTGGTCATAAAAGTTGAAAGAACTCTCCAATTACAAACTCACACTACCAGAAATGTTAAAGGAAGTCCTTTAGGCAAAACGAACAAATACCAGATGGAAATATGAACTATAGTACAAAGGAATGAAAAGGCCCAGAAATGAGAAATATACCAGCTGTTTTTTATTTCTGAAATCTCTTTAAAAGACAATTAAATATTTAAAGCAAAAATAATAACAATATATGGTGTTTATAACATATGTAGAAAAAAAATGTGTAACAATAGCACAAAGGCCCAGGGGAAGAGATAAAGAGGTATGCGGGAAGAGGAATTATATTACTTGAAGGTAGTCTATGATAAGTTAAAAACATATACTATAAATCCTAAGCTCTAAAGCAACCACTAAAAAAAAATTTTGAAAAATTAAAAAACCCAGTTATATCTACTCAGCCAACAAAAGAGATAAAATGGAATATTAAAAATGTACTCAATTCAAAAGGGAGGAAAATCAAACAAAGAACAGATGTGACAAGCAGAAAACAAATAGCAAGACAGATTTAAGCCTAAGCATAATCAATAATCACATAAAATGCAAATGACCTAAACACTTCAAATAAAAGGCAGACATTGTCAGACTGAATAAAAAGCAGTTACTTATAAAAAAAACTGGGTAGAAATAAAATATAATGACATAAAGGCTAAAACAAAAAAGATGGGAAAACATCTATAATGATAACACTAATTAAAAGAAAGCTGGAGTAATTATATTAATACCAGACAAGATTTCAGAGCAAAAAATATAATCAATGATTTTTTAAAAAGTCATTTAATAATGATAAAAGGGTTCATTCATCAAGAATACATAACAATCCTAATCATTTATGCATCCAATAAGTTAGCCCACCAAAACAAGAATACAGAAAGATGCCTTTCATGATTAAAACGCACCATCAGCATTCCTGAATGAAAAATGAACATTACCAAAACGGGACTTAAGATCTTTATGTAATAAGTGGCATGCACTTTTACTAATAAAAGTGCAGTATTCCCCAAAAGGGTCAAAGGTAGTAGTATGTTAAATGACAAAATATTTATGACTTCAATGCCAGGTCTGATCAAAGAGATCTAAAGCTGACTCACCTTTCATATTGCCTATCTCGTGGTAATGAAGCACCCCAATGTCGAAAGTCCATGATTAACATAAGTAAAAGGAGACAGGATATGAAGAAGAGTCCTAGGAATGCCACCCGCTGACGTGGAAATGGACTCACTGTGGGCACAGTAAAGTACCAGGAGGCTGGGCAGAGGTAGGAAAAACTGATCCTGAAATGAGACAAACATTATTAGTAAGTAAGGAAAGTCTCTACGGTTGAGTGCTCAAAAATGGTTTTTAAACTGGACTAAAGCCCTTCCTAATAAAGGCAAAAATTTATGCCACCAGAAGTCTATCAATGTTCTCTTAGTCTCAAACTTTAGAAAAGAACCTACATAGTTCATAGTGCTTCTATAAATCAGAAAAGCCTTATCTGCTCCTTTCCCAATGTCTGCTCTTTGGGGTGTAATTCAAAGAATTACTCTCATGTTTATGGAAAGATCACCAGTCTCCCTGGTCAATCTTTAACACTGCGGAGTGAAAGCAACTACAGCATTCCCATCAAGAATGATGTCCAAAAAAACGGACAGTCAGAATATTTTTCCAACTAATTTTTTAAAAAATATTTTAATAAATAAAATACATGGTAAGAAAAAAAACACAAGTTTGAAAGGACATATAGTGGAAGATGAGCCTTTGGCCTTAACCAATCATTTCCCACTCAAAGGCAACCACTGGTACCGTTTTCTATATATTTTTCCAGGGATACTCCATGTTTACACAAGCATAAATGTGTATCATGTATGACAATATACATGTGTGAATCTCGATTCCTCTGATTTTACACTGTACCTACTACTGTTCTGCATCCCTCCCCACTTACTCTATTTGACAATTGTTCCATCTGGTATTTTGATCCACATTAATCTTTTCTGAAAGTTTCAGAGCATCACAATGTATGGATACACATACTCAACTATGATATGAAGTTCACTTTCCATATTGTTCAAAAGGATCTCAGCCTATTTTCAAAGTTCATTAAAAAAACAAAAAACATTGTTTAACCTCCTCAGAAAGCATGTAGCCTCACTCAAACGGAAATCTGAAAGAACATTACATTTTAGCACTTTTCACATGTCAGCAAGCACTCACTCCATCACCCTGGGGTTATGAGCCAGAAACTACAGTTGTGTCTGCCTTCAAAAAAAAAAAAAAAAAAAAAAAAAATCACTTTGATCTTCTTTGCATCCATCCGACCAAGCAGCCAAGTCCAGATGCAGCACTAGGGAAAACCTCACTTGTAAAAACATCCCAGGGCCCCTCCACCTACCTGCCACCCCCAACTGAGCCCCAAGCTGAGGAGAAAATGTGCAGCCTTACCTAGCCATGGGATCCCTTCAGTGGTCTCAGTGCCTGTCACCTCCTTTTCTTTTTGCCCTGAGAAATTGGTCTCCTTATCTCAGGCATCTCCTAAGTCTGCAGCCTGTTAAGAGTTCGTGGGGTTTCAGGCTTACCTCCAGCAGTGCCCACAGGACTAGACCTCCGAAGGAAGGCCAAGGCGCCCACCCACCCCATATGCGTCCGCTCTTTTTCCCGGGGCCCAGCTGACGCTAAGCCGACTCCCCGGGAGCCGGGCGTTCTCGAGGCAGCGGCGCTTCCCAGGAGGCGAAGTGGGGGTGCCCACTTCCCCTCCTCGCCCTCCCCGCCTCTCCCAGCTCCGCGGCCCTCCCCCGCTCGCGCTCACAGGTCGAGCGGCCCGCAGGCTCCCTCGGCAACGTTCCGCCCGGTCCAGAGCGCTTCCCCGCGGCCTTTCGCCCAGCCGGAAAGAGGCCTGGGCGAGCGGCGGCGCCACGTCCCCAAGGAAACCGCAGGGAACCAATGACTGACGGCAGACCCGCGGAGAGGGTCCCAGCCTCCACCCAGCCGGGGCCGCGTGTGATCTAGCTGCGCCGGCCGCACGTCCATTCGCCAGAGTGGCCAGTCCCCAAGAGCGTTCGGCTTCTAATGCCCGCCCCGGGATTTAGCGCGCGCCCAATCCGGAAAGGCGTCGTGCCGTAGCTCCGCCCTGACGGGCCGGGTAGGCGCTCGCGTGAGCGGAGCGAAGCGGTGCAGGGGTGCCTTGCGCCCTCTGCCCTCCTGGCGGCGCGATTTCTCTGCCGGCTTCGTGCTGCGCTGCCGCTTCCAGGACTGAGCGGCGCCGGCCGGTGAGTCTTGCAGAGGCGGCGAGAGAAATGCATCCCTTGTCCACAACCTATCAGAGGTATTTTGTCCAGCAACCGTGATCGCCAGAATCAAACCTTCCCTATAGCCTCCCAGACTTATGCCCTCGCTTCCTTGTTTTGTCCTGTTAGAGAAACAGAAATAGGGGACAATATCGTTTACACCGAATTCCTTCAACATTCATTGAATGTCTACTGTGTGCCAGACGTGAGCCCCTGTGCCCCTGCCTTCTCGGACCTGACAGTAATACATAGAGAGGTAATGAATGTTTCCTTAATGTTCTTCTTCCTAGCTGACACCAACCGTTTCTCTCATTTCCAGGAGGGAGCCCTTTGGACAGGATAAAGTCCAAGCCCTTACAAACGTGGCATACACATGGCGATCCAGGACCCGCCCATGCAGCCTCTTATGCGGCTGCTCACCTTCTTTCCTGTGCTTCAACAACGCACATCCGTGGCTTCTGCCCTCTTAGGCTTTGTTCATTCTGCCTTCTCCACCCTTCCATCCGCCTTGAATATCCTTCCCGGCCACTTAGCCAAGCCAATCATACTCATTCCTTACCACTTAGTTTAGGGGTCACCTCCCCTAAAAACCTTCCTTGACTTACAACCCCGTAATATATGCGTGTTGTTTCACTTACCATATTGAATTACAATTTATGTGTCTTTCTGTCCCAGTCGACAGAATATGCTTGAGGGCAGGGATTATCTGCTTCCACAGCAAGGCTGGGTATTGTCAGGCGCATACAATACACCTAATGTATAACAAATAAGGGAATGAATGTAGAAATAAATGAAGACCACCCCACTGGGATCAAAAAGAGGCTATTTGTCCTATACCTACTATAAAAAGGCAGCCAACCATCAACACTTATATATGACAGAGACCTTAAGACTGTCAGGGAGGGACGCCTGGGTGGCTTAGTTGGTTAAGCGGCTGCCTTCGGCTCAGGTCATGATCCTGGCATCCTGGGATCGAGTCCCACATCGGGCTCCTTGCTCTGCAGGGAGCCTGCTTCTCCTCTGCCTGCCACTCTGTCTGCCTGTGCTTTCTCTCTCTCTCTCTCTCTCTCTCTCTCTGACAAATAAATAAATAAAATCTTAAAAAAAAAAAAAAAAGACTGTCAGGGAAATGGGAAAGCTTAAACTGGAGCGCAGGGGGCAGGGGGCGGGGGGCGGGGGGGGGGGAAGGCTTCATGTAGGCTCTGATTTGAGAGTATTAGCATAGGGAAGCTGGGGGTGGGCTTACTAGGAGAAGGGCATCTCATGTGATTGTGGGGAGCATATTCCGCTTTCTTTGATTGATCCTAAGTGAGAAGGCAGGGAAGCCGATAGTGAGCAGTAGTGAGAGCTCTAGGTTGATTGCTGTAGAGGTCATGGGTCACAATTCTGATGATATGTGGTCTGACATTGTCCAGTTTATATGTTCAGGCTCTTCCCTCCATTTCCCTCCCAGCCTGGATTCGGTTCCTAACTTAACTTTTTCCATTGATTCTCAGTGTTCTATTCTTCTTTGTCCTTTAATTCCCTACTCTGCTTCAGGTGTTATATTTTATCTGGGCCTCCAAAAGTCACATTGGGTAGAATAGTTGCATAAAGTTAGGATTAACTCCAAAATTATACAAATATCAGGTGTTTATATTATTCCAGAGCTCAGCTCGGGTAGTCATGGGAAAAACTCAACAAATGTTTTGGAATATATATATATTTAATTCTTGAGGTTGCCTGCCAACTGCGCCATTCTGTCTAACTTATGTATATTTCAAAATCCAGTGGTTCAATAAATGGGTGTTTTTGCATGGGAACAGAATTCCTATTTATGTTTTAAATAGTACTTAATCCATGTGATTTATGATCTATATTAACTTAGAGCTAAGGTGCATTGAAACATCTTCTAACTTATGTTTAATAACTACTGTTATAGAACAGAAAAGAAATCCATATTTTAATCCCAATACTTCATTATACTTTCTTTGTCCATTGCACTTGGATAATACTTCCTTCAGTAAGTCCATATGCATCCAGGAATTTGTAAAACATGATTCTTTACAAAAGCCTGCAGTGCTTATCTGATTAACAGCTCACAGGGCTGAGTTCTGAGGTTTCCAGTCAGGAGGCCAAAAGAAGTAGGTTGAGATCATTTCCCCATCTCATTTGCTGTAACTCTCAACATGTTGAAACAAATTATAGAAATCCATATTTCAAAACTGGTCTTTAACTGCTTTTCAAAGCCTTGCCTTCAGTTACATTTACAATTTTCTCAAGAAGTCCTTGACTCTACCCAGCTCTGAGCAAAATCAGCCATACCAGCCCCACACTTGGTATCAGTGGTCTGTATCACTTTATTTCCCCTCCTTTCTCCTTCATTCCACCACCATCCTGCCTTAATCTCTAAAGGAGTTGAAGTACTGTCATCTTCACTCTCCTTTCCAAGTTTACTGTCTTCTCTTCGTGTGCCTTGTAGGCACCTCCTTGCCCATGACAAAACTCATTGTCTTGCCACTCTTACTTTATCCACCCAAACCTCCTCCATTTATATGCCCAACTTTAATGAACTACTCTGTGATCCACCCAAGTAGAAATTTGCAAGTCATTTTAGAATCTCTTCCTTCTACTTCTTTTCTGCTGTAGGGGAGCAAAATTTGCCACCCCCAAAGGGGACTCTTTTGCATGTGCATTATTTTAGGCTGATTATTTTTAACAAACAGAAGGCTCAAGAAGAGCCTTTCAAACCACCCCCCCCAACCTGCCTACAAGAATTTGGATAGAGGACCTGCTCCAGGAAGGGAGCTAGCACCACAAGTAACTACAGTATAATATGGAACTAGGTGTGACACAGAGGGAGGAACTTAGCAAAGTTGTTTTATTAAGATTCCTCTCTGTGTCCCATCTTTTCTATATGGCTCAACAAACTTTTGTTTACAAACATTTATTCTTTTTCATCTTCCTGTGAATTGTCCTCCTTCCCTTTGAAGTCCCAGCTCAGAATGGCATATCAGCCTCAATTGCCTGACTACCTGTAGGCCCCTTAGTCTCGTGGAAGCCCCATCTATATGTAATTAAATTTTATTTTCTCCTGTTTATCTGTCTCATGTCAATTTAATTCTTAGGTCTGCCAAGAGAATCTTGAGGGAAATAGAAAATATTTTCCTCCCCAACACCTATTTCATCCAGTTAATGACTAGCCGTTCCTAATTCAAGTTTCTAAAATCCTTTCCAAAATCTTCTGATGAAGCCTTCTAGCTGGTGACCCTACCTCCAGACTCATGTCCCTCCTTAGTACCCCTCCATTCCGATATAGTGAAATACAATCATGCTAATTCCTGTTTTAACATCTTTGTGGTTCCCCATCCCAACTGGATACAGTCCAGATTCCTTGGTATGGTGTGGCAGATTCTGCTGACTGCCACCCAAAAAGCCAACAACCTCTTTTCTTAATTCTTAATTCTCAATTCTTAACAGAATCCCAGTTTTATTCTTATAACCACACTGCTATGCTTGGCCATATGCTTAAAGAGTGCCAGGCTCCAACAGCAGCCCCAGGGAGTAAACTGTGATTGGTCTAAGTAGATCATGGTGTCCCACTCCCTAACCAAATATTGAGCCTGGGAATATGATGCAATCCTAGCCAATGATACCAAAGGGAAGCCAGCTTTTGGGAGGAACGAGAGGAAGAGGGGAAACATTTCTGGGAGAGGTTTTATCCAACTTATAAAGAGTATAAAAAGTTTACATAATGAGAGTAAGAAGAGAAAGTCCCTTTTCTGCCTCCAGAAGTAATCTTAAGGCCTGGAGCCTCTGTAGCCATCTTAGAACCATAGGGTGGGAGACTCAGGGGGTGGGGGTGGGGGGAAGCCTAGAAATAACAGAATAGAAGTACAGATAACATCATTAACATTGTTGCTAACTTAATGAACACAGGAGAAGCTCTACCTATGGACTTATTAGAGATACTAAATTCATTACTGCTCTCATTTTTAAGCCCATTGAATCAGGTAGTTCTGTCACCTGTACTCTCCTAAATGATACATGTGGCTTCCAGTACCTGATAAGATCTAGCCCCAACATCCTCTGGCTCCCCAGTAGGTATTCTCACCCACACCCTGACATATTTGCAGTTCTCAGAATTATGCCTTCTCTTACCTCTGAGCCTTGGTACTGGCTATTACTTCCGCATAAATGACTTTCTTTCACTTCTTTACGAAATGAATTCCTGCTTTTCCTTCAGAAGCTAACCTACATGTCACCTGTGAGCTCCCCCAGTCTGCCTGGGTGCTTCTTTTTCTCTGCTCTTGTAGCACTTTGCTCATGTATGCTTCTGTGACAGCAAGA